TGTGCCCGTGCGGAATTTTGAAGCGGGTTTCTGAAAGCGACATTAGAAGCAAGGGGATCTTGTTGAGACTAAAGCGTCCTCGGGCTTACTTTATGAGAAGTCCTATTTGAGTGATTCTCATAATTCTGTCTTCAGATAAACTACAAATTCCACAGGATATCAACAGCGCGCGACGAATCGCGCATTGATGATGTCACCTCGACTCGTGATGAAACGTTTGCAAGCTCATTACCAAGCTCGGTGAAAAGATCAGCCGCCAACTGACCGACTAAAAATCAGCGTACCGGAGCTGTTTTATCATAGCTATTCAGCATCCATTGAAAGTTGAATAAACTGAACACAATACTCTCTGTCACAACGAGTTCTCAGTTGATCAATGCTGAGATTGGTAACCGTCTTGAAAGAGTGAAAGAGACAAGGTGAGAGTTAGGATGGGGGCATTAGAAGAAGCTGCATTAATGATTGTCCAATTTAGACTCGTAGCTAGATAGAAAGATGTTCGTTCTTCAGCGCAGTTTCTGAGTAGTTGCTGGGACTGATTGATTGATAACACTTTTTATCACGTGACCGTTCTCTTTAACATGCAGATTTATCCCCACGCAGCTTGCGTGGATGTTTCGCACCACAGCTGTGAAACTGCTGATCTCCGAGTAGTTCAGATTACGGCAGTTGCAATACACAAAAAACACTTTGGCGTTATCAGAAGAATGTATACAAAGCCATAACAATATGAACGAGTACAAGCTTCCAGTGTGTCCAGTACAACTTTCACACTGCACTTTTGTGGGTTTCGTCCGTGTCACGAGTTTAGCATCGGTACAGTTGAATTCTGTTTGCTATTAACAAATAGAATCGGGAAAGTGATAAAACCATGTGTGTCCCAAGAACAGAACCAGTGCAGTCGTAGGTTATTCACTCCCTTTTGTTCTATTCACGTGGAAGGGTTATACGTACTCAATGCTGTGAACCTTCGTCTTATGTGGTAGAGTACGCAACACAAGCCTGAAGAGGCTTCACGATCCATCAGTGTTAACCTACTCATTTGTTTGCGGTTGTACTGCAAGGTATGCTGTGGTGCGTACCTAAAATGTTGCCTATTGCCTATACTATTGGAAAAATTACTTGCGTCCAGTGCAGTTGAGTCTAGTTTTCTCGATGCAAATCACCGGATCAATCTGATTGAGTTGCTTGCTGCCATTTATTGATTCCAACCAAATGTTCTCAAAGACTTTCTTGAAATATGCAGTGAGAGACGATGACACAGGCACGCATCTTTTAGAACAACTTGTCTATTCGGCAGAAGCCTGAACGGGTGGGTCTAATGTTCTAGTCCGTCAAATAAATGTAGATACACTATGTCGGCGTTGGTTTGTCAGGTGTCTGGTGGTATGCTTACCAAACCCGTCATTTAGCTTGCAAACCTTTCGTCACACACCACTCTTAGGCGGTTAATTTCTTTTTACCTGTTCCTGTTTACAAGGCTTTTAAATAGCATCTGATTTCCGTTGGTATGATGAGCCAACTGACAGCCAGAGTCCTCGTGAGTTCATTGGTCTGTTTGTGATTGGAGTTGCGCTCTAATCAGTATTCATTCAATTGGAGGTGATAGCTCTTCTGGTTGATCCAACTCAAATAATAATAATAAGAAGAACCACAAGAGAGTGTTTATCACAAATGGGCCAGTGTATTCCTGAGAAAGCTATACACTAATTAGCCAATCGCGTCAGTAAATAGCAGATGTCCTTTAAGAATTATATTAAACGCCCAACGTGGTGAAAGACTTGCAGGCTTATTGTCAAGCTCCGCAAGCATATCTGCAGTCACTTGCTTAGCAAACGCTAAACGCACAGAGTTTCGAACTTTTCGATGTTCTACGTTCACATATAAACCTCCCAACACTATCAACAGGTTTCATTGACTGATTGTTTTACCACTTGTGTTTCAACTTGTGTGTATCAATTTTTGCAAAACTACTTGTTGCATTGGCATATAGGTATACGTATATATACCGCGTCACGTGTGCTCAGAAGCATTTTCCTCGACGGACCTCGGTACGTGAATTCAACAATTTGTTCCTCTAGTCTGTATCAGACGACCAAATGGGCTACGTCGTTCAAGCGAAGGACGAAACCCGTGTGAAAGCAATCAGGGTTTAACGGCCTACCTACTCTGATTTTGTTGGTTTACTAACGTCCGAGCAAAAGTTGCGATAAAAATGGTTGCGAGTATTTCCCAAGGTACACGCAAACATAAAACCACATGAAGTACGTTTGCACTTGGTTTGGAGTGGGAAACATTATGTATTTACTAGTTCGGCGCATCCTAGCTGAGTGTCACTCGTGACCAACGCGGAGGGCAGCTGCTGCGCAGCTGTTCACCTCCAGTAAATGTAATTTCTCTTTATCTAGTCCAGGACGACTGATGTGTATGTATAAAGATTCTTCCATAGGAAGCCTTCTTCAGTCACATTTGAGAGAAGTGAATCTGTCTTGACCGAAAAGATTATTTATCTAGTGTTTTGGGTACAGCGAAGAAGCCCTCGCTGAGGCTATTGCTATTCTCTCAGGCAACCCGAGTCCGTGCACTCGGAAAGTGATTGTGCGGGAATTGAGTGTTCCATAGTCTGATCTAGTGACCGCTAGCCACGCGTGCCAATCGGCCGTGTTGTGAACAGTCTGAACACGTTTACTCAAGGACTCCGGTTTGTCATAGTTTTACTTCTATGGATCGCTGGCTCTCGGACTTGTAACCCCTTGATTTGTAGTGACTGGAAGAAGAAATCGCAAAAACAGTGATATCTATCAACTTGTGTGCTGAATTTTACAATGATTCTTGTGCATGAGTCTCCGACGTTTTCAGATACACCGCATTCATGTGCGTCTGGCGGCATGGTTAAAAAGGACCCACTGATAAAATGTGGACGGTGTCTTCCACATTGGTCATGACTATATGAAAATACGGGAATATATCCTCTACTGGTTAACTGACTGGCTGATATCGACGTTTAATCTGTGGCGAAACGTTCAGCTTTGGCGCCTTGTCACAACGGGTTATTTCGTTCTCATGTCTAATGACAGCAGAAGTGCTAACTGTTTTTTGGTCAAACCCAACAGACATCCGAGTCTGAAGTCTGCCCTTTAAATGGGCTGGGTTTTTCTATGATGTTACTGTATGCATCACTACATATCACTGAAGATATGTCCACCCCCTAGTGGATCAGTCAGAAGCACGTGACGCCCGTGAGTTGTGTTTCATTTCTCGAATATCCTGTTTTCATCACAATAACATACGTATGTCTACTCGAACTGTAGTTCATGTTTCCATCGAACGATGAGAATACGCAATAAATTAGGCCTACCCACAGGCCAATAGTCTGTTTCTGCACTTTTTGTTTTAGAAAGATATTTGCCGAGGAAGTAGCGAGCTGATGCAGTTTACCAACTACTTCCGATTTCGTCCTATAGGTGAAGCCAGTCTATTGTGAGGTGGCGAGAAGCACTGTGCCTAGCTGCTTCATTCTTACTGGGAATCATCAGCAGTGCTCATCTCACGAAACTCCAGTGAAGAGTCTCAAACTCACTACTTCGTGGCTGCTAACCGTTCGACCACGAGCGGCTAATCAATACTGTGATTAGCCTGCACCTAAACAGAATGGAGCACTACTCATCCCTGAACCGCGTATCAACATTACAGGTTAGCTTCAGTTGCAGAACGAAACCTCCAGTAAGTTCTCAATCTCCCCATACTACCAACAGGTGTCTGGTTTCATGACCAGCATCGGAAAACATACCGAAATTCCATGATCATCAGCATGCTCATCTCACGAAACTCCAGTGAAGAGTCTCAAACTCACTACTTCGTGGCTGCTAACCGTTCGACCACGAGCGGCTAATCAATACTGTGATTAGCCTGCACCTAAACAGAATGGAGCACTACTCATCCCTGAACCGCGTATCAACATTACAGGTTAGCTTCAGTTGCAGAACGAAACCTCCAGTAAGTTCTCAATCTCCCCATACTACCAACAGGTGTCTGGTTTCATGACCAGCATCGGAAAACATACCGAAATTCCATGATACTCGCTGACGAAAAAAAATCCGAAACTTCCTTTCCTATTGCATCTCACTCTTTAGCGGATCATTTGCAACAATCGGATCTCCATCTCATACTGACACCCTATTACCTCGGGGGTGATCCGCGCCAGCTTGCTTATTTTATCTTTTTAAACAACTTGCAGTCACCAAAACACACGCCTCTTCCTGCTAAAATCGCTTGTACACGCCAGCCTACTTGATTCTTAATCAGTCTCCTACCGCTTGTCTTTTTAGATCACAATCAGGTACAGTGAACGAAACCATGCGATGATCATAAATTAGTGGGAAAATCTTCATTGAGAGACCTAATCACAGGGTTACTGGAAGCTCTTCGACAGTTCAAGGTTGATTCAGACACCTTGAAGAATACCATCATAACCGAGAGATTCAGTTGAGTATTCCTTGAAGACCAACTTGAAACGGAAATGAGTGTAGTAGTCAGCGGCCTCTGAACTGACAAGCGCTTTGTTGCAAATTTTCATCGGAATGCGTGGTATTGTTCGCTTCCCTGGGGTCAAAAAGTGATTAGCATTGTTATTTCGCATGATACGTTCAAATGACACGGTGGTTTGAATCCGTCTCCTGCAAATGTTCGTGCAAAATCTTACGATAGGCCTTTGCGTTCTGTTCGCGTCGCAGATCAGGAACACTTTTCATTGGCCCGTCCACAAAATCATGGTAATGACCTTCTCACGAATCGACCAATCAGGAACTTGGATGAATTCACTTGGCCAAACTGGTGCTGGTCACATGCATTGATAAACGTGTGTACCCTTTATACCAGGAGTTTAGGCAACATACACACAAAAGGATTTTACAAACCACCGCTATTTATATCAAGAATCGGACCTCTCTTTGTTAGGTCCCACAACTCACAATCCGATGCCCGGATGAAAATCTCTTCCTATGCCCCATCATTATGCGCAATGTCGTATTCACGTTTCGGCTGTTCCATATGTGCTGATCAGTCTTTCAAGACTGATGTGTTTCATTATATGGCAAACGGTATCCGCACTACTTGTGGAATGTCTGCCTTCAGAACGATTATTTTTTCCTGGAGAAACACTTCTTCAGAATAGTTCACAAACCGAAATTACAGGCAATACAACCAGTTCGTTAGCACTGGGACTCAACGCCACACAACCCAACACCCATGAAGCTGACGGCGAATCTTTTGTAGAGGAGAGTGCAGCTATATGGGTCATTACTGTGATAAGCGGAACCTGTATACTAACCATAGCCTTCATCGTGCGTGCCCTGTTTTCACGTGCCGAGGCGTTCCGTGACCCTCAGGAAATAATGTTCAATCCGGATATGGATGACGCACAAATGGGAATAGGTAGTGTCATACCTGGATCCGATCTTGGCTACTTATAATAGACCGTAGCACCAAATTATTTGCTCAATGTGATCGGCAAAATCCGTTACGCATTCCCAGAGCCAGCATTTTGGAATTTGATTTGAACAGCTTGCCACAAAACTCCTCGAAAAACGTAAAGCATTTATCCTCGACAGCCGACGGCCGTGGACCACAGCAGAACCGTCACTCTTGCCTTCCCAGGCCAACATTTTTCCACGAAACCTATTTTCTACTTGAAAAAAACGTACGTGATTTATTTTGTCGCTTTGCCTCGTAACTTGATTGTGTCCACATGGTTTTTCATATACTATTTAGTTTGATTCATCAGTTTTTACTTACTTACTTACTTACTTACCTATGTAAGCAGATGTAGATCTTATTTTGAAAGATAAAAAACATTTTGAACTTTGCATCTAAACACATATGTTGTTGGTTAGGTGCGACATTTTGGTCTCAGTTGGCGCCTGTCAAACATTTCGTTGTTGTCAAATGGACAGTGCTTGTTCGTGAATGTTGAAACAGCGTCTTGAGGTTATCATCTGTTACCACGACCACAGAAATACACACAAATGTTTGCATGAGAGGGAACGAACCAATAAAAAACAACAACAGATTAATCGTGTTGAAAAATTGGGGGTAAAGAATGACCCCAAGTGAATTGAGAGCTGTCATCTTCCTGATGAGTGCTGAGCGGCTACATTGAAAGTTACTGGTTTCCAGTGACGGCATTGAACTTGTAACGAGGTAATTAGAAAACGGGCGTTTGGTTGTGCAGTAGATACTTCACTATCGGAGAACATTCAAAGGTAAGATCAACCACGGTGACCCGAAAGTATGCTAAGTATGCCAAAACAACGCCTACCGTCTGTGCCTCCTTCAGGTGTCGTAAATTGGGAGGTGGTCAACATATGACTTGAAAGAAAGGTGTAAAAGAGAGTACAGAGTTTGGATGTTATTACGGCTGTCCGTCTTGCAGGTTGGGATCCCCGTGATCCACTTTGAACAGTACAAGAAATGGCGGCTGTTTGATTTCTGTCGACATCTGTGCTGTCAATTTCCTTCCAGGCTGTTTGACTGAAGACCTCAAAATGCTTGCAATAAGCAAAAACTAGGCCTCCTTTTTTACCCACTCTGTTTTGCCTTCGTACGTTAAGGCTTTAAGCATAGTTTGGTGGTTGCGTGGCAGTGAAATATCACTGAAGTCGTCACAGATGATGCTCTCTCTGATGATGTTGAGGTTGATGATGTCTTTGAGCTCTAGAAGTTGAACCCTAAAATGCACCTTGAATCATACCATTCTATTTCTGCTCCATTCTATTCTACCCGAACTAATCTAAAGAAAAATAGGGCAGAATATATCTGCAAAAGACCATTTTATTGAATCGAATGAGAGGTTTCTAACATCAACATGATGTTTGGTCCAAGTTCTTTTGTCACAGATGAATCACCGTCACAACAGTTAACCATCTGAATAAATTCAGTTTGACAAATTTTAAACATTGAATAAGAAACGTAATACACTCCTCGTAAGGTTGCTAAAAATTCTTTGACCTTATTTTGGGCTAATTAGTTAGGCGCAGTCCCCGAGGTTCCGTCAACCTTAGCTTATACTTGAACCCAAATTTAACGAAGTTAGCGGGATACAGTCATTTGCAAAACAATTTCGCTTTGCAGGAGACACCCGGAACGCAGCTGGATAACTCGTTTATGATGTCTTCAAGCACCTGAATGTGGTTCACCGAGCCGCCTCATTTTTTAGTTGGTACGATACTCGAGATATTAGGGCGGCCTGATGCAGGACATCCAGTTGTTTGAAAATATCATAAACGATAAATTCAGTTGAGTTTCAGGTGAGCCTCCAGCAAAACCAAATTTGTTTGCAAATGAGTGTATTTCACTAAATAGACACCTTTTTGACTTTCAACAAGTGCAAATGGAATGATCAGTTATCATCTTCTCTCTCTCTCCCAATGGTTTATTGTACTTCCACACTTTATTATTACTGAAAAAAGCGTTCGGGCCTAACACCCTTCTGGTGCCTATCTGCTATGCCACCCGAAGGAAGCACGAGAGTTGGAATACTGTCAACCTGTCCAAATATAGACATTCAATATTACTAACCAGAAGCACGATGTCCCCACACATGTTTCTGTCACCAAGGTAGATGATCAAGTGTGAATTGGTTCACAAACGGATGTATCCTATTTAAGGTTGATACACACAGGTTGTCCATTAATAGGAGATCAGTGTGCACAAAGGCGTGAGCTTTGTAGTTCTTTGTGTGGAGTACATGGTATGCCTACCAGAAATATATTTGGTTGGACAATACCTCTTCGTCTGAAGTGCATTTCTTAAGTCCTATAAAAACTGCATAAGAACAACCTTGATTCTAATAATAACAATATTGTTAACAATGATGATAATAATATTGCCATTCACCAATTATATGTATTTTGGTAGTAGTGAGACGACCGAATTCGCCAACGCGTGCAAACAAGTGAACGCATGGATCAGATGCGCTGTAAAGACATGCGATGAAACATCTAGGAGTCTGTTGCGTGCTGTTGGCCGCAATCCTAATGATGAAACTTCTTCAATATGAAAGGTCACCCACTCACTTCCTTCCGTTTCACCACAAAAGGGTTGTGATACAGAATACTATACTGGTGCCATTAGATGTTACTTATACTTAAGACGGAAGGGAACTATTGCTACCGATTGGAGCTTCGCAACCGACGCAGCATGCCCAACCTTCCCCACGCAGGGAACACGCATGGTTGAAAACCTTCCGCTACAACAATGGGACCAGCACTCATATTAAGACGTTCATCTTGCTTTCATGTGCAGAGATTTTCGCATGCCTATCCCCAAAATGGGGCTTTGTTGTGGTTTAGAATCAAGCTGGAAATCCTCATAACTCAACCGAAGTCTCTTTCAATACTGCAATTTCGGTGCCACCCAACGCTGTCTACCGTCTTTTGATCGTCCGTAGGTAAAACCTTTGAGAATGCCACTTGCTGGCATGCATTCACAAAAACTCATCAGCTCAAAAAGTTTGCAGGACTAGCTGTCGTCGATTTTATGCCTGCTTCACAGAACTCCAGAATGATAATAAAATAATATGTAGAATATAAAATATAGTATAGTATATGATATATAATATCTATTATATATAATAGCACAGTATGTTACAGCATTAATTAAACCTTGGAATTGATTGCAGTTTAACCTTGCAGGCAGTTGGCGACAATACTCAGTTAGCTTGCTCACGCAGAGGAAACATATGCATTCATGTCTAACTTTCTTACGAAATATTCACTACAGTGTGTATGATGTGTGTATGAGTTTCCGAGTATTTAAAAAAGCTGCCGCAGTCACAAGCGATTATGCAATCGGCACAGATTTCCCAACCGTTTTTCTACATCAACCTAATAGAACTGATAATTTCTTTTTTTTTACAAGAGAGTAACGCAGTCTATTTAAACCACATTTTTTTCATTTTATACAATTAATATTGACTAAATCTTGTCTAAGTCGAACGCCCTCTCCCTCTGGCCTTCATAACGTGCTGCTCAACAGGGGTCGATGTTTTTTCTTCATACAGTCGTATTTACAATCACTGTCATGGAAACGCCATTTAGTTGGAAAACAGTTGACACTTTTTCAAAACCGCTACAAATCTCAGTTAGGCGTTGCAGACACTCGTTATATGCGATGCCAGTCTAAGTATCTAATCACCAGCCACACGTTTTCATTTGTGAGGAATAAACTGTCTGTGTGCACAACTAAGACAAGTTTAGACTCTGAGAATTCAAATGAATACTTTTTCTCATGAAGCGAGTTTAAAACACTTATCTGTTCCTTCGGAATTCCTAGAAGTAGAGCCATTACTTACCGAATGTGATAAGAAACCGCTGAATGTTTGATCAACAGAAGGCTGATGATGAATGTAGCGAACAAAGCTTGCTTTCTATGGTTATTTCTAGTGGCTAATACATCACAAATTTGTGTCGTATCGGAAATCACGTGAAAAAGATTAAATTCGGAGATAAATACACTTTAGAGGAATAGAAATCAAAGGAAGGGAGGATTTGAATGAGGGATAGGTCAGGGGGTCAGGGAATCACATAAGTGACATCAATGTCAGACGTCAGACAGGCTTGTGGGACCGGATTTTTCACAGGCCAGTTCAAGTTCGGAGGTCGCACGAGTTTCTTTTGGACGCAAAGTTGTGTATCCAACAGTCGGGTTTGAATCGCCTCCGCGAAGGATAATAGTCTGGATCGTACCAGTCGTGATCGGTTAAGGCATACCTGGTGTGTGGTAGTGAAAGCTTGTTCTTTGTCGATGATATGATTGTTTTTGGCCAAATGTGATGCAACCGCACTTGAGCCTGATTTCTTCTAGGATACAAGACTGTGTCCTCACATTCTGTCCGACGAATGTCTTGTCGCACGACCAATGTATGATGCTTGGTACGTGAATACAAATAAGTACATAAGAAAGCTGGAGGCACAACGTGACAATTTGTCCCTAAAATGGAAACTGATGGTGGGGCTGAGTTGAAGCTCAAACGGAGATCAGCAGCCAAGTATGCCGTATCAGCAGAGTTTCTAAGACTTCTGGTAATTAATTCAACAACCGAATCGCTTATGAATAGAAGCCTCATGTAGACGCACTTCTTCCTGACATAACATTGTTTAGGTTTGGGCTTAACGGATTCCATAGTCTTGGGTAAGAAATCTTCACGATATCCGTTCTAAAGAAATGTGCATCCCAATAACTTTAGTTCCTCTTTTTAAAAGTCGGGGAGCCTGTCTTCATTGCCGTCTCAGTCAGGCGTCTAATTAGATCACGCTTTTGTTGCAATGGGATGAAGCTATCGAAGTGAATATATTGAACTTTCCACGTTAGCTTTCCGTGGACTTTGCGTTCTATGGTCCCGTCAGTCTTACTTTTAACACTGACATCGAGGAAACTTAGCTGTTTATTCTCTTCTGACTCGATAGTAACC